CTCCCACGACATCCATGGGCTCCTTTTCTCCTATCACAGGAGAGAGGTTGCTTCAAGCAAGCTTTTCCATTGAGCCTTAGGTATTGTGTATTTCTGAACGGTGCATTTACCATTGTATGTAAATGTATATAGTATGCAATATAGTATTTTATTTCATGTGCCCTTGGAAAGGGTAATTTTGTGCAGCCAAAAAAAGAAAAAGGACAGAAATAGAAACCTCTCTCTCACTCCTGTTACAGAGAAGAGCCCAGCGTCCTGCACTGGATTCATGTACAGCATCATTCACATTGAATGATAATGAAGAAATTCTTGGCTCTCGAAACTGAGCACAAGTGTCTGAATAAAGGCTAGAAGTAGTAGTAAGTGGATTCAATAAATGTACTACTTATTTTTCTTCTTTGTGATGGTTTGGAATGATGTCATGGACCTGCGCTGGTAGAAGGGGGTTAAGAAAAACTGAAGAACCTATTCCAGGCCCTACAGCTAAAATTTGGGAAGGCAACAAAGGTGTTTTAACCATACTATGAAGTTGTAACCCTGGCTCCAGAATCCTGTCCCAAGGCTTCGTGCACGTGCAGGCCCGCAGCAGCCAGCGCAGCGCACGCAGCCTCGAGGAGGCTGGGCCTGACTGATGTGCACTAAGGACGATGGCTCCGGAGCCCTTCCTAGCTGCTGCAGCCCTGCAATTTCCTTCTCCTGCTCCGTAGTGACAGCACTTTGCTGGGCCCTTCCTGGCCAGGTGGCCTTGGCCAGCAGCCCAGGAGCAATAAGTAACTTGACATTCACCTGGTAATAAATAGTGTTTAACTAGTCACAGTTGTGACAGCCTTATAAAATAGCCTTGCAGCTCTCACCTCACCAAGCATTTCAGAAAAACAGCATTAACAGAGCAGGTATTTTTTATGTGCTGCCACAGGAGGAGCCTCCCTGGACCGATGCTATGATACTCCATTAAGCACAGAAGCTCCCTTGGTTCTCTTAAGCCATTACAGGTTATCACTTACATAATGACTTGAGGCTTCATTTCAACGTGTAGGAAATCTGTGAAGAGTTAGATTCAAAGCCACACCAAGAAAAAGGAAAGAAAACTCAAGGTATTAGCACTAATGCAGTCAGGGCTGGGGCTCACTGCATGCAGGGCTGCTCTGCTGGATATAGTTCTTCAGGTAGGGCTGCACAGGGCAGCTGTGCATTCCCTTTTATCCTGCCTTCAGTTTTCTGCCATGTTAGTTTTTGCTGCTTATGCTAATGGAAGACAAATGAGTTGCTACGGCCAAGTCCAAATGTGTGCTGTCCTCATCTGATTTAGCTCATGAAGAGCCATTTTAAACACGGACACTCCCTCTTACATTACATTGCTGCAGAACAAGCCCTTCAAAGCCAGACATCCCTTTAAAGCTGTGCCAAGGAAATGCCTGCTTCTCAACTTAAAAGAAGCTCTAAAACATCTGAAGACCAACAAGGGACATCTTTTCAGTGCAAGAAGTGGAGTACCAGATCCTGAGCATTAGTCATTTACTGTACATTTCTAACTAACCATTACACCTCTTTTGATTCAGGAAATTGCAAATAATGTAACCTTCTTCAGTCACTAGTTAAGAGAGACTTTGTCATGGTAAATAGCTATCATTCAAGTCAAAGAAAATGTCAGGCACAAAACATCTGAGAATTTACATTTGTAATGCATTAAGAATTTTTTTTGCCTGGTGCATAGCAAGCATTCGAAAAAGTAGTAAATTAATTGAGCCAGGTATCAGAACTGCCTGCAATTTTAATACAAATTTAATATGAATAAAAGCTTAGGGCAGGTCACATGCCACACCTGACATTATGTCTGATCTGTAAGAACTGGCAAAACAGCGAGGACCAACAAGCTGTCCAACTGTACCACCCGCCTCAGCAGCGGCGGCCTCGGAAACAGGACCTGCTGCGCGACCTCGGGCCGGCAGCAGGAAGAGGCTCAAACGCAGCCGCTCCCGAGGGCTGCAGGAAACCCAGGGCTGCGCTGGCAGCGGGGATCGGTCTCGGCTATAAGGACATTCCAAAGGAATGGGGAGAATTTCTTCATGAGCAGCCACAAGGTTCAACTCTATGTGAAACCTCATACCTAAAAAATGTCACTTGGTGACAGCACTGTGAAGACACGTTCCTGGCAGAAACCTGCAGCTACCGCAAGTCTGAAAGAAACAAAACAGCTTTGTAGTCATCTAACAAACCTGATCTAATAAGCAGATACTGTTGTTAGTATGCATACCAATCAGTTGGTGAGATGATAGTTTGATTTCACACTAAACAAAATCCCCGCATAATTTTCCCCACATTTTGCTATGCGGGCACTAACAGGGCAAGTAAAGGAATGACAGCTAGAGCCAAACAAGCCTGTTTGCCCGTTCACCACCTGAGGAGCAGCACCTGGCTGACACTGTGCACCTGTGAGCAAGACAGCAAAGGTACCACACCACAGTGCTCAGCAGGCTGCCCCATGTCCCTGCAGGCCCAGGACACGGACTGCGCACCCCTGGCTCCCTTCTGGTAGGAAGATTTCCTTTATAGTGCCCCCCCCCCCAAGAGGTTGTGGCAGACAAATGAGTAAATGCAGAGCCAAGATGATGCATTAGCTCTCTCTCTCTCGTTTTTTTTTTTTTTTTTTTTCCCAAAAATGCTTTAGAAGCTGGTTTGGCTACAATAGAGCTACACTGTACTTGAGCAGTCACAACACGTCCATCTCTGCTACACTTGAAAATGCAGAAATAGATTAAATCTGTTTAACCTGCTCTAGCCCTAGTGGGCTTGTAGTCCAAGTCTTCACACAAACATATACAGCTTTAGCAACGTCTCCAAAAAGCCTGTGGCTCTGCACGTGTAATTTTTGCGCCACCTCCCCAGCAGTCTGCAATCCAACTCAAGTCTACTTCTCTTATGGTAAAAGATGGTCAGAAATTGCAGTGCTCCCAAAGTCCTGCAAATATAAAGCCATTGGAAAGGTGCTTTTCTGGAGTTTAAAACCCCCCTAGCATCGGGCCACTGAAGCCATGCACAACTATTGCCACCATCACTGTGCATGAAATTCCCAAATGTTGACTTAAATGAAGCAACATCCTGGCTGACTTAAATGAAGCAAAAATAAAGTATGTAGTAAAATCCTCTATGAAGGGCAGTACCTGGGATCCCAAACTTTCCAGCTATCAGGCTGTAAACCGGGGTTTGGGGGGGGGCGGGGGGGGGGGAAACTATCATGAGGCAGCTTATTATCAAAACCCACAAAACTTACTTAACATTTTTACAAACATCATTGTTTATGCCAAGCATGTAACTAGACATTGAAACAACTTACCAAGGAGCCAAAGGGCTGTCAGGAGGCCTTTAACGCGTTACTGTTGCACACACAGACATACATGAACCTTGATCACACGGTGGGGCCTGGTGCCTTGCAGGAAGTCAAACCAAAGGAGCTGATTCACCTGCTTTGCCCAAGATGAAGGCATTAAAAAAGTTTTTTTGTTGTTTTCTTTTTTTGGTAAGTGTCAGTGCAAGTATCACATACAAAAACAGGCATATAATAATTGTAGCCTGGAACTAGAAATTCCCTGGTGTCATTGGCTAAACCAAATAAAAGGCTATTGCCATCTGTAAGTACAAAAGCACAAAACTGTCAGGGCTTTTTCTTTTAACTGAAACTGAGATGATTAATGGATATTTAGAATTCACTGCAGTAATATAGTTTGCTTTTTAAGTAAGTTCTTTGGCATAAAAAAGAAATTAATTTCCTTCAATGTTGTCCCCACTGGATCGCTCTCAGAGTCCACCAAGCATCTCTCAAAAGTGATGGGAGCAGAGCGGGCGCCTCCCTTACTCCATAACCCACAACAGTTACCTCAAGGGTGAGCAGCTCTTGTGTACACAGACGATGCTGGCTCTGTGTTACGAAGCCGCATCACTGATGTCAGCCCCAGCCAGGGACCCTGGTACAACCAGCAGGAGCTGAGGGAGTCTCCCCTTTTACCTGAGCTCTCCTCATGCCCTGCAGCCGCTCGCTCAGCAGTACCTCAGGCTCTGCAGGGGAACGTCAGTCTTAGAGTGGTGCCAGGCAAGGGATTTCTGACTCGCAGCTTGCCTAAAAGCCCTGGCCACCTACCTCGTGCTGGCCTGCACGTCCCCAGGGCAGCTCTCCAGGAGCAGCCCTTGGGACAGGCCAAAGCCATCACACCAGCAACATCATAGCAGAGAGAGGAGAGAGTCAGTCTAAGAAAACGAGTGTTTAATCAGGAAACGAGAAGAGACAAGGGATAAGAAAAACGATTACAGGAGAGTAATACCCCAGCAAAAAGAAACACGATTGTACGACTCGAAACGACCAGGATCAGAACATCCTAAGAGCCAGCAGTGCCCAGGGAGGGCCACTCCTGAGGATGAGCCCAAGCACTTCCAGCAGTCTCCAGGCAGCTCAGTGCAGTCATGGATCCCCATTGCCCAAGCTCCAGCCGTGGGAAGCCGCAGAGGTGGCCCTGGCCCTGCCGCTCCAGTCTTGGCCTCTCTCAGCAGGAGGTGCTGAAAGGAATGGCGGGCACGTCGGCTGTACAGAGCAGTCCCAGCCTCTCCCAACAAGAGATGGTGTGTGTGGAGTAAGAGAAGCCCATACAAAAAAAACAAAAAAAGAAAAAAAAAAGTTTACATATTTATAAATGCCAAAATAAATATTTAAGACAGACTCCCCCACCCCTCAAACATGTGCACAACCACACTGCAACCTGCTCGTGGGCTGGCCTCCGGGGGCGCCAGGAGAGCAGCAGCGACTGCCACAGGGCAGCTGCTCTCTGGCCTTCTCGTTTCCTGATGCTTTGGAGGCTGCAGCCCACTGGGAAAGAGAGGAGGAGCGAGCGAAGCAGAGTGCCAACACGCAACAGTGCTGGAGAGGAATGTCATGGAATAAATACATCAGATCAGTGGTTTCCAACAAGTTTAAACTAAAATTTAAAAAAAAAAAAGACACCAGAAGGAAGGATGGTGTGAATGGAACTACAACTATGCGGGACGAGGGGCTGCGCGTCCGTGGAGCTCCGCTTGCTGTCACGGCGAAAAGGTGGTCATTTCCAGAGAGACCCTTTGCCACAGCTCCTTGGTCTGCTTGCTGCGCTTTAGGTTCTGGAGAATATCGTTAAACTGCATCATGCCCATGGGGGTCAGGCAGAAGGCGCTTCTGGCGCTGCGGATGGCATTCACAAAGTCATCGTAGTCAGCTGGAGTAAGATGGATCAGCCGGTGGTGGATGTACTGGATGGGGACAGGGAGAGAGCCTTAAGGTATTTGCTCACGCCCTCACACTGGTAATGCTCGGGCAGGGCTCTAGAGCTGCCAAGGTGACACATCAGAGGAGCCTGTTACCCCACAGCAGGCACAAGACCCGGGGGCTCTGGCAGACAGGGAGCAAGCTCCACTGGCAGCAGTGCTCTATCCTGCTGCTAACATGGCTAAGGAGACTGTCCCCTCGCAGCACCAAAGCAGCTGGGCTCTTCCTCATTCTCCTTCCTGAGCATCAGGCCACGGCATAGCCCAGAGCAGAGGGCCAAAGCTCTTCACCGTGCCCCACCTGCATTCACCTCACACCGTTAGTTCTGCAGGATACGTATGCAGCACGCTCACAGGACAGCTCCTTTGCTAATGGGTATGGCAGCAGTACGGATTACACTAGTAGCCCTAGACCTAGGGCACTCAGGCAGAATCTGCCACTTCGCTGAGTTTCTCAGCTAATGCCCCAAAACTGCAGGTCCAGCTGCTGAAAAACCTAGTTCCCTAATACAGCTCAGAGAAACAGCTCAAGCAAAGCAGCTGTGAGTGTAATGATGCAGCTGGGGTGCCCCAGAATATCATCTAGGTCGTAGGACACCCCTGATCCCACCTGGAAAGTAAGTCTACAGCATTACTCGTCATGTATTCAAGAGAAGTAGCTACATGTGAGGCAGTTTGCTTACACTGGTTTAAGGAACAGGCAGCTCTGCTATCCTAGCTGGATCAATTAAACAAACTTGTCATGGTGTCAATAAATCCTGAAGTCTCTCACCTGTCCTGGTAGCTGATCAAGCTACATCCACTATTAGTGCTCACCCTAGCTCTCTAGACAGCTGTGCCAGCACTCAGTGAGGAGGTGAAGACAGGCCACAGTCAAGAAAAGAAGAGAAAGACAGGCTAAGGGAAGGCAGACAGACAGTTCAAGAGCAAAAAAGATAAAGAAAAAAAGTGCAGAAGCATTCAAAGCAAGAAAGGACAAGGACCACAAACCCACACCATCTTCCAGGGTGAGCAAGGGGACCAGAAGCCTTGAAAAAGAATCAGTACAATGGCATCCTTTGGACACAGCCTCCAAAACGGCAAGTGACCCCCTACTCCAGAGCCTGTGTGACCGATGCATCAGGCAAAGGCCAGTTCAGCTACCAGCCCCTCGAGGCCCCTTCCCCTCCGCACGCGCAGCGCCTGCAGGGTCGGGGGCTCTGCCAGCAGGCAGGGAGGGAGCACGTTACCTGCATGTAGGCCTGCTGGCACCTCTGCACCAGCTGGTGGAAGGCTGGCGTGCGCAGGTGGTTGTGCACGTGGGCTGGGTTGAGCCTTTGTAGCGCTTCCATGATGATCTCCTGCAGCACAAAAGGGCTCAGCACCCCCTTGGCTGCACCAACACAAAACTGATGCACGTAATTTACACCTGCACAGGAAGGAGAAGGCAGAACAACACTGTGTTACAACACACCAGAAGTCAGGCAACCACCCAGCAACAATCTGGGTTTGGAGCTCCCCTGGCAGCAGCAGGAGAAGCCATGCCACCAGACAGGTTGTTGGTAGTCCTGTTTTTGTCAGTTCTTACTGCTCGCAAAGGAAAAACAAAAAGGAAAAAGAAAAAAAGAAAAAAGACCCAAGATGAAAGTGAAATGTGCTTAAACCACCCAAGCTGGTGGTTTAAGCACATATTGCTATAAAGGTCTTCACAGAAGGCATAAATATACATAAGAAAGGAATACCTATGAGATAGTAGAAAGCGAAAAGAAAAAGCTATTTTTATACAACAGAAGATATACAAGCTCTGAATACAGTCCAACCCCATGAACTTCATCCAGAGCCTGAAAATAAACAGCTTGTGGAAAAAAAACAGAAAGACAACAACTGACTGAATGAAAGAGCAGCAAGGACCTTCTGAAACACCACCAGCAACAGCACACCGCTTCCCCGTCTTTGAACTTCCAGTCTTAAGAGAGCTTTTTCCCCACTTCCCAATCCCAGCAAGCAATGCTGCAGAACTGCTCCGAGCCTTACCTAACTTGGCAGCTAACCCAAGGAGCCATTTTACATCCTCCGTGTAGGGTGGGCTGCGGGAGAAGTTGTTGGGATGGTCGTTGTGAGCTCTTCGGCCAAGCATCTCCAGCGCCAGCATCCCTGTGAGAAAGGGGCAGCCAGAGTCAAGCAGCACTTCTGCCAACAGCACTCAGTCTAGCGCTTCCTGCACCGCCACTTGATTGCCCTGCCCTTCGTCAGCAGCAAATGCCCTGGCTGCAAAGAGCCCTGAGAAGCAAAAGGCCAAGTTTGGAGACTGTCACTATAAGGAGGAGGAGCTGCAAGGACAACTGGATCTGTTCCAGAATGGGAAATCCACTCAACTTTCACACCTTGCTAGAGCTGCAAAGAGACCAAGAGCATCTAGAACACACGGGCATAAAGGATGCACTGCAAGAGATGCCCTGAAAACAAATCCTTCCCTCCAAAACTTAGGAACAGAGGAGCTATCCAAATCCACCAGTCCAGCTGCAACAGCAAGAGGCCCACACCAGGCTGCAGTATGCTAATCTGCACACATTTCTCTCATTCCTTTACAATTCCTCACACAAATTGTCCCATTTAAACATTTTTTAAAGCCCAGCAAGTCCTATGTAAACTAATGTAACCTAATCTTCTAGGCCCTCCTCCCACCCCCTTCTTGGTTTTCCAGGCTATTAAATGCCTTTCATGTCTTTCCACTTACCACTGCAATGTTTACCATGATATTTTTCCCCCTTTCTGGTTGATGAGTACTTTCTCCCTGAGTTTTCAAGAAAAAGAAATGAAGCATCTTCCAGACAGTCTTCCTCCAGCTTCTTGCTGTTCCTCTTGCTTTGCTGCCCTGTACTGGCTTTGCTAATTTGATGTCACTCTCTCCCTTCCCCACGGGCTGGATTGAGCCCTCACCACATACGAGCAGGTAACTGTAATCTAGGCCCAGCTGCAACCTCAGAGACTCAGATAGCCTTATCGCAGCACCAGTCAAGGCAGACACTGTTTATTTTCTAACAACCAGTGTGACTGGGAAAGGAATAGTAACTCTATACCCATATTCCAAGAATTGCACGTTCTGCCCATACCAGTCTCCACAACACAGTTGGAGGGACAGAGACAACGTGAGCCTTGAGCTGTGCCTGCACTGTTCACGAGGAGCAAGAACTCATCTCCACCTTCTTACGTGGTCACCGACTTCCACGAGCACATCCTCAGAGCCCCGGCAGGCTCCCTTGCGGTACCTGCTGAAAGGCAAGACTCTTCCCAGCTCTACCCACTTCGCTTTCTCTTCAGCTCTGCAGCTCTCCAGAGCAGCTGTACCACCTAGTGCTTCACCTCCTGGGACGCTCACCACACGCTCATGGCACAGCTCTCCCCATGTAGCTAGGATGCCATCACCCCCAGTAGGTGCAGTAGCGAACTGTCAGACAAGAAGAACCTGCTGCAGCCCTGCCCTGGATCCCTCCTGAGGGGGCCACGGGAGCCCAGCGTGGCTGTCCTTACCAACTCGGTATGCAGAGTGGAGGTAGTGCAGACCTTGGGGGCTCACAGGCTGACTGTGCTGCTCATCCTCGGCAGGAAAACCCCCTGTAACAAGGGAGTTGGGCTGTGAGGACAGGGTTGTCAAGGAAGCCCCCTGAATCGCTGGGAACGTTGATCCTGCATGGACACTTCCTACTGAAGAGAGCAAAACAGCAGCATTAGGACCAAGCACCAAACCTATGAGAAGCTTTACTTGGGCCATCCTCTCCCTCACCTGCCTGCCCACTGCCCAGGTACTGCTCTGCTCCTCTAAACAGAACAATATGGCAACCAAAAACCACAGGCTTACAACTGAAATACAGTGGGCTGAGATGCTTGCTCATCTCTTCCCAGTATCCCAGTATGATATGACAGACATATCACCCATGATTTACATCAGAAATACATGCATTAACACAAACATTTTTTCTATTTATTAAATGACATGTGTGATTCTGACTTCTTGTTCAAGGAAATGAGCATGTCAGGCTCTGACTGATGCAAAACTGCTGAAGAACTGTATGGAGTCACTCAAAGTTCAACACTTTCAGGTTCCTCCACGTTTGTTGCAGAACAGCTGTGACTCCCATGCAAGAACCCTGTGGGAAGGGTGTTACTGGAGGTTCACCTCCAACTGATCCTTAGAAAGAGCAGCAGATGCAAATACTGGCAGCCCTTATCAACAGTAACAACAGCAAGGCAAACCTGAGAATGCTCGGACACCTTCAGATACTAAGGGGGGCAAATTCCAGGGAATCACAGGAAACATTGCACTGCCAAGCCTGTTACAGGAAGCAGTTAAACTGCACTCTGACAAGAGCCTCAAGTTTATCCAAATTTCCTGTCAAGAAAGGCCCACAGAGGGAAGCAAGGTATGCTGGAGAATTCCAGAGCAGAGATACCATTGGGTGCCTGAATGTTGCTGCTTTTATTTCCCAGCTTCTCTTTGCTACTGCTGTCCCAGCCTGGGCAATGCTTCATGTTACTACTTCTTGTCTCCCCTACTACCTTCTCTGTTGTTTGGCTGGCTTTTTTTTTTTTTTTTTTCCTCCCAGTTGGCTGGGGAGAATAACCGGTAAGAATGGGCTAGACTGTTGCCAAAGCTCGAGTGTACATGGCTACCTTCACCCTGAACAGTGAAACAATATTTTAAGAACTGGAAAACAGAAGTTTACACAAGCTATGAACAATGGAAAGGGTGGGGCTGTTTTTTCCTTTTGTTATTCTAAGTGCTCTAAGATAAGTTAAGAGCTCTGGAGGCTTCAGAGCTCTTGGGAAGCATGCAGAGATCCTTTCTCACAGATAGAACTCAGTTCCAAGCCAAGACTGAGGCTGTCAGTAAACAGAGGACACTTCAAATTCTGAGGGGCTTTCAGGATTCCTCATTTTTTTTTGTGATGGCTTTTTGGGATTAGAATGAAAGTGCCCTTAAAATACTGAAAAGGAAGCCTTCTCCTGAAAATCTGGATAACACATCTCTCAAGTGCTTCTGCACATGCCAGTCTTCCTGAGTGTGGTCATTTGTAAGCACTGGGAAGCAAATGTGCAAACAGGCAAACCCAGTATCTCCAGAGAGCCTGAGCCCAACCCTACCTGTGGGTGCAGCACTCTGGTACGGAGGGAACATTCAGTCAACAACGTATCTACTGTTGCAGTGCTGCACAGTCCCTGCTGGGTCTTCATCCTCACTCCAGCCCCCACCCAACACGGTGCAGTCACTCAGACTGCCATTGACATGATCCTACCAAACCCTCTGTCCTCTCTAGAGTTGTTCCTAGAGTACCTTTGGAGTTCTGGCATCTCCAATCTCTCGGTCAGGAAAGACAGCTATTAATGCTACTGTAATGCACTGTTCTGCTAGTGTAGCAGAAGTTTGCCTGCTGTCTGCATCCTCTTTTATCTGACCCAAAGGGATCACAAAAGCCTACCCAACATTATCTATGCTCACTTTGCCCAAAGGAGAGACTGCTGAGGAAGAAAAAGGAGGGGGGATAAACCTCTAAAAAGTTAGAAGCCAGAAAGGCCAAGGAGGTATCCAAACACTGCAGTCTGAGAGGCCAAAGTAATCTCATACTGAAAATTTAGACAGACAGAATTTAAAGCCCCACTAGCTGACCCAGGTTTCCCTGGCATCCCATTAGGAACCCAGTGAACCTCATCTGTAGGATGAGGTGAACTTGGTCAGAACTATTCAGTGCAAGAGCCCCGATCCCATGACGCAGTTAGTGAGGAGGACACGACTGGAGAGCAAGCAAGAGGCACAGCAACCATACCTATGCCACACACAGCCCAGGAGCTGTAACACTCACTCGCTACATTGGAAGACAGTGACAGTCCTGTCTCGCTGTGGTAGGGATGCACCGCAATCTGCGTCATGGATGGAACCGGCACGCCAGGGAATGACACCGCTGTAGCTGCCAGGGACGGCGTTGTTACCGAGTAAGGGTACTGAGCTCCTATGAATGCTGGGTGCACACCCTGGAACAGAAGATGAGTAACAGTCATGTCTATGTCCCCTTGCTATTTAGAAGGATTCCAAAACATGATGTCCCCAAACTAACTCCAGAGTATTAGTGGGACCTGCAACCTGACAGGAAGGAGGAAGCATGGGAAAAAAGCCACACAAATTATCTTGAACCAGATGACTATTACATCTATTTGCTCCTCATCCTTTTAAATCTAGTCAGTTTGTACAAAAACATGCCAAGAACTCTCAACAGGCAGAGGCTAAAATATCCTTTGCTGTTTTTCCTTCTGTAGTTCTTACTTTATCTGAAAGTTCTCAAGAAGATAAGCTTTCTGTCAAGTGCCTTGTATGTTTTGAGAAACTACAGAGCAATAATACTTAAAAGCTACTGACATAAGACTGTATTTTATACTCTCTCAAGACTTTACACATACCCACTGAAGGCTCCTTATCAGTGAGAAGGAAGGCAGATACCACAAGAAGCTAGAACTCACGAAGCAGCAGCTCTCGGCCACTTGCTCTCCCCAGTCAGACGTACCCCTCTGGAAGCAGCCACACAACTCCCTGCAAATGAACAAGCCAAAAGCAACCCTCACCTGCGGGTAGGCTGAGCCAGGCACCGGGAAGACTGCTGGTCGCGGCATGTGCTGGATGGTGTGTCCAATGTACTGAGGGTTGCAGGGGATGTGAGTCTGGAGGGTGGTGTAGGGGTGGAGGCCCTGCGTGTGCGTGTGTGCCATGGCCGGTCCTGCCATCGTATGCTGCTGGTACATAGTTGACCCCACAGAAATCACCGGCATGACTGTTGCTGCTGCAGCCA